TGGCTGGATTAGTCAATATGTCATTAAATACATTTGAGGGGGGTGGGGGTGTATTGTAAAACTCCGCTATTTATCTCTAGTTCTTATCATCTTCTTTGGAGATCTCATTTTGTCTCAGTGTCCCTAAGAGACATATTTGCTTCTAGATTTAACCTAGAGAGTCAGCTGTTCCCAAATGTTTCTGGTTCTGCTGAGTTCTTAGGATGGCCACTGCCGCTTAGAGACAGAATCTGTGATTTGTCACTGATTCCTCTAAACCATCACAAGGCCTAAAGAATCACAGGTCAGCCCTGCTGGTGTGGCTCAGTGGTTGAGCGTCAACCCATGCACCAAGAGGTTGCCAGTTCAATTCCTGGTCAGGGCACATGCCCAGATTGTGGGCCAAATCCCCGGTGGGAGGCATGGAGGAGGTGGCCAATCGATGTTCTCTCTCATCGATGTTTCTATCTCTCTCTCCTTCTCCCTTTCTCTCTCTCTAATATAAATTTTTTAAAAATTCACAAGCCAGCCCTGGCCAGTGTAAGTCGGTGGTTAGAGTGTCGGCCCCACGCCAAAGGGTCACAAGTTCGATTTCTAGTCAAAGGCATGTACCTGGGTTGTAGGTTTGATCCCTGCACAGGGTGCGTGTGAGAGGCAACCATATCAGTGTTTCTTTCTCTCCCTCCCTCCCTTCATTATCTAAAATTCAATAGAAAAATATCCTTGGGTGAGGATTAACAACAACAGTAAAGGTGAAATAAAGATTTTTTTTTCATATATACAAAATCTGAATAAGTTCATCAGCAACAGACCTATAGCATTAGAAATGTCAAAGTAGAAATGTTTTTCTCTCTCTCTTCCTCCTCCTTCCTCTCTCTAGAAAGTCAATAAAAACATTTTAAAAAGATATATACCATGAATCCTAGAGCTACAACTAAAATAAAAAACCAAAACGTTATAACTAATAAGCCAATAATAAAGATAAAATGTAATTGTTTAAAAATGCACAGTTAAGTCAAAGGATGCAGAAAAAGACAAAAAAAAAAAAAGAAAGAGGAATAAAGAAGCCCTGGTCAGTTTAGCTCAGTGGTTAGAGCACCAGCCCTCAGACCCGAGAGTCCCGGGTTTGGTTCCTGCTAGAGGCACGTACCGCAGCTGCAGTTTGTTCCCAGCCCTGGTTGGGGTCGTGTGAGTGGCAACCAGTCGATGTCTGTCTCTCACATTGATGTTTCTCTCTCTCTCTTCCTGCCTCTCTCCCTCCTGCTCTATCTGAAGATAAATGCAAAAATGTCCTCCAGTGAGGATAAAAGAGAAAAAAAAAGAACAAAGAAGAAATGAAAAGAGAAAAAATAGTAGGACAGAAGAAAACCCAAATATAGCAATAATCACATGAAAAATAAATGGTCTAGGAAAGGGATGAAAGACCTGAGGAATCCTTCTACACTCAGTACTACTTTTGCAACTTCTTGTGAATCTCTAAGTATTTCAAAATAAAAGGTTAAAAAGATCAAATAGTTTAAACACAACAAAAAGGGAGAGATTGACAGATTGGATTAAAAAGCAACCAAGTGAAAATAAAAATACAACATACCTATTGTCTTCTTGTATTGAATATTGCTCCAGAGAAGTCAGCAGCCAGAACAGCCATTCACACTTGGAAATAATTGAAGTTTTCTGCTTGGATTGTTAAGAATTATTTCAATCTGAGGATTTATTTTAGAAATGTTTTCCATATTATATTTTAGAATAGTTTACTGTTTCATTTATTGAGTTCTCTACTTCATATCCATTCTTAGTGGATCACTGTACTCTAGATGTATCTTCTTTATAATTACCTTAATATTTGTGTTATTTCTCTGCATTTATATGATTATCTCAAGTATTCCTGTAAGCCAGGGATTGTGTTTTCAGTTTCTTGTTGCTTCTACCTTATTTTCTTCTGTAATGCTTCACAATCTGTTTCCTTAGCATTAATCCCCCTTCATTTCTTTTGGCTGCTTTGTCATTTTGTCTTTCAACTCTTGTCTTACGGGATTACGGATTTCTCAAGTTCTTCTGTAGCAGGAGACACTTGCAGGAAGTTTACTTTTGTCCCTTGAGTTATATTTCCTGTCAGGATAGGTTTTCATGTGACTCACGTCACGTTTCTTTTTTACGTTTTTTTCCCTATAGTCTTTCTGCCTACTTCTTCTGCCATTAATCTTTCTAATGTTTAGTAAGAGCAGCTCAGTATAGTTTTTCCATGCACGTTAAGTAGGCATGAAGACTCTCTTTGACAACTTTCTTTATGAAGTGGAACTTGATGTCTTCCTCTCCAGTGTACAGCTGGAAGCTTCAGTGGTATCTTTCTTTTTAAAAATTATTTTTTCTTTATTTATTTTTAGAGAGAGAAGAAAGGAGAGGGAGAGAGATAGAAACATCGATGAGAGAGAACACTGATTGGCCGCCTCCTGCATGCCCCCCACTGGGGATCAGGCCCATAACCTGGGCATATGTCCTGACTGGGAATCAAACGGAGATCTCTTGGTGCATGGGTTGACGCTCAGCCACTGAGCCACGCCGGCCGGCCTCGGTGGTATTTTTCATCTACTTTTCTGCAGCCTGATCTGAACTGGTGTTATGTGAGATCTCACTGTTGATCTGGTTTGCACTCTTGATCATTGCCTATGAATTTCTATTAACTCCACTGTACTAGGGGCTGTATCTCATTCCCCTGGGCTTTGCTTTTTTCACTGATTTCACAGGAAAGCCTAAAAAATACTTCCCATTTCTACAGAGGATCCTCAGGAACAATCAGGGGCGCCTATGCCTGAGTGCCTCTTGGTGTTTTCCCGAGCTGCCTGTCTTAGATGGCACTCTTTTTTAAAAAAAAATTTTTTCTTTATTGATTTTAGAGAGAGAGGAAGGGAGAGAGAGAGAGATAGAAACATCTATGAGAGAGAACATTGATTGGCCACCTTCTGCATGCCCACCACTGGGGATTTGGCCCACAACCTGGGCATGTGCCCTGACCGGGAATCGAACTGGTGACCTCTTGGTGCATGTGTCGATGCTCAACCAGCGAGCCACACCAGCCAGGGTCAGATGGCACTCTTTAAATTGATCATATCAGTGAGAATTCTGGTTTTCCTATCTCCTTGTACTCTCTTTAGTCAGTACTACTTTGGGCATTTGAGATAGTAACTATGCCTTTATATAAATCTTTTTTATTCTGTTGTTTTTTTAAATGTCTATACACATTTATTGGATGTTTATGTAATGAGCTTGAGCTCTGTTCTTTGCTTCTCTCTTGCTGGTAAACTTTTAGCTGTAGTTTTACTAATTTTTTCTATTCCTTTTAGATATTGGTAAAAAGAGAGTCTATGAACTTGATTGATCTAGCTCTGTAGAGAAAATTGCAAATTTTTATATTAATTATTTTATTTTAAAAGTATTTCTCTATATACTATCCTAAGTGATGTGCAATATTCCAAGTTAGCTACAAATCATTTCACAATAAATTAACTCCATGCTTTTCCATGGATGTGTCTCAAAAATTTTAAAGTTTTTAAAATAGTGTAACCAGCTGCCAGAAATAACCAATGCTAGTTTTAAGTTCATACTTCTTACAGTGATACTTCAATTTCACTATATATATATATTTTTTTAAATAGTGGGGTCTTTAATTGAGAATTAACTCTGAAATTTTTAGTTTACGTCTCTTAGGAAAGAGGGATGTTTTTACTTCAAATATTGTGAGAATTTCCGAGAGACCTATGGCACCCAAGGAATTTGCCCTTTTTGCCCTTTAAGCGAGTAGCTGAAATCTTGAAGACTCAGCAGAACACAGACACTGGATTTATGTTGTCATTTCATTGGTTATTAAATTAAATGAAAAATAAAGTGTAACCTTGAATGTAGAACATTCATCCTCTATGGACCCTTTCATTTTAAAATTAATAATAAAAAAAGAAAAACCACAGCCCTGGCCCATGTGGCTGGAGGGTTGCTGGTTCAATTCCCACATGCCCAGGTTGTGGGCTCGATCCCACCTCCGTGGAGGGTGTGCAGGAGGCAGCCGATAGATGTTTCTCTCTCTCTTTTTCTCCCCCCTCCCTTCCTCTCTCTCTAAAAAATTAATTTGAAAACCACAAAATGTCTCCCTGAGCAACTGTGGCAATCTTACCTTCGAGTAGTAAACTAAGATTCTCCTTAGGAACAATATTAAAGCAGAGTTTAAGAGCCGAGATTTCAAAAGCACACATAAAACTTTTTGAAATAGTGATAAAAAATATATATATATATATATACTAATGCCATTAAAAGGAAAATAATCAAGTAACGTAATGTGGCCCTGGCCCGTTTGGTTCAGCGGTTAGAGCATTGGCCTGCTGACCAGAGAGACCCAGGTTCGGTTCCCGCTAAGGACAGGTACCTCGGTTTCGGTTTGTCCCCATCCTGGTTGGGGTCATCGTGTGGGTGGCGACCAGTCGATGTCTCTCTCTCTCTCTCTCTTCCTCCTTCTCTCCCTCCCACTCTATCTGAGGATAGATGCAAAAATGTCCTCGAGTGAGGATTTAAAAAAAAAGGAATGTAGGTGGTCTTTCAAAAAGGTATAAATTGTACCTTCTGATCATACATTTTGAAACATGACACAGTCATTTCTGGCTAATAAAAGCCCAGACACACTACCACCTCCATCCTTCATACTCTCCCAGCATGTCATACTCCAGCATTTCTGCACCAAGGCTGTGTTAAAAATAATGAAAATAGCTGAGTCTGCCTGGCACATACAGCTCAAAGATCTTATGACTTCTTCTCTAACTGAACACTTCTCTGACCACCCTAAATAACCAACTTTCCTTCTTTCTTTCTTCTTTCTTTCTTTCTTTCTTTCTTTCTTTCTTTCTTTCTTTCTTTCTTTCTTCTTTCTTCTTTTTTCTCATCAGATAGAGTGGGAGGGAGAGAGAGAAAGACAGAGAAATGATGGAGCCACATCAACTGGTTACCTTCGGCAGGACCCGACCAGGGTCAGGGACAAACTGAGGTACCGAGGTAAGTGCCCTTTATTGGGAATCGAACCCGCGACTCATTGGTCCATGGGCCGACGCTCTAACGGCTGAGCCAAACCAGGGCCCAACCTCCTTTCTATCTACCACCAACCTACCTACCTACATACACACACACACACACACACACACACACACACACACACACACACACACACAATCTCTATATCTCAGGTCCATCCAGTTACTACTCTGGTGTCCCTTATTACTAACTGAAATTTCTTGTACTTGTATTGGTTTACTCTCTGTGATTTGCCTTTTCCCATCTGTCTGATTTGCTAACCTATCCCCAATCCCCAGCACCAGGAAGAGTATATGGCTCACAGTGAGTGTTCTTTAAATATTTGATGATCACATGTTTAGATCAAATATGTTCACAGTTAACCAGAGATGAGGGCTACTTAATTGTTTCTTAGATTAGGATCTTCCTATCAGTTAGAAACCTTCAGAATATACAGATATTTCCTTGCCCTGGAAGCCAAACAGAGCAGCAGATTGTGGAAAACAGCTGGCTCGGCTGCCCTTGGACTGATCCCAAACACGATGTTTCTTTCCAGGCCTGAAAATCGACGGACACTGTCCAACACGATGTGGTTGCCCTTGATTTCTGATGCATCTTTGATCTGTACTAATGGACCAGATTCCTCATTGAGCTGAGGATTTCTTCTCCTCCTCATTGCTGATTGAAGATTCTGTTTATATGTGTCTATATCAGCTGCTTTGCTGCAAAGCACAGCAATATCCTTGTAGGAATAACCATTCCTCAAGAACATCTGGCATGTCTCTGCTATATAAACCACCATCCTCTCCAAGTCTGAGTACTCCCTAATCTCCAAGTTGCCTGGGACACTATGAGCCATTTCAACTTCATTGAGTATATTCAGGGACCCAACAGGGATGTTAGGTGGTGGATTTTCTCTGACCTCGTGCATTATTTCTTGTAGGTAGTTGGCTATCGGATCTGCATTGCGGACCACTTTGATGAGCACTTCTCTTATCTGCTGCTCTGAGAGAGGGGGGAGACCACTGCAGTCCATGTGACTGGTCTGAAAGTAGTCTATAAAGATCCAGAGAATGCCAGGGCGAGCCCTTCCTCTCCGAGTGATGGTTTTTGCCTTCTCATACCAGTCCCCATTTTCAGTGCGGAAATTCTGAGCTTCATCAATGATTATGTGTTGAATATTTTCAAAGTTTGCATTGGGCTGCAGGAAGGCTCTTCGGGTCACTGCCTGGCAGATATGTTTGTGGCTGAAAATGTAAGAAACACTGTCAAGTTTCCCCAAACAAACAATGGAAGTAAATTTTACTCTAAACTCATCTGGACATAGTAAATACAATATTAACCTAGGCACGTAAACTTAAAGCCACATCCGTCAAACTTACTTAAGAAAAGAAAGTGAATATAGTCAGGCCACATACCTCACGAATTCTTGCAGGGGCTTGTTCTCACAGATGTAAAGAATTTCACCTGGTTGACAGTGAAACACATTCCTGATCTTTTCCATGATCCTAAGAGCCAGGACGGTCTTCCCTGATCCAGGTAAGCCATGTACAAACAGCTCTCTGGTGCTACGAAAGTTCATTGAAAGCAACTCATACTGTTTATCCGTGAGTAGGTTCAAAACCTCAGAGCCCAGCTCTTCACTTAAGAAAGATCTGAACCCACGCAAAACTATCACAAGGGACTGCAACAGAGCTTCCATATCCTGTGTGGTCATCAGTTTATAAGACTCAGGGTATTTTTGCAAATTTAAACCATAAAGGGCATCTGATGTTTTACCAGGTTCCAGCAAGAAGGCAGAAGGAATGATGCACAATTTTCCAGTGTAGCCACCTGTGTTCACAAGCTTCTGCTTTAAGGTGCGGGCAACCGTCATAGAATAGTCCTTCCAGTGCTCATCTCTTTTACTGAGGATGGTGTAGAGGACTGGGATTTTGTTCTGGGAAAGTAGAAGAGCATCACAGATGACTCCCTGCTTCTCTTGCAGACCCACATCCACAGCCCAGCTTCGAGAAAAAATCAATATTCCTTTAGGGACAGTGTTCTTTACACGAAACATTACGTTTCTGAGTCCTATATGTTGCGAGCACAGTTCCTTGTAGAGGCTTTGTGGTCTATACTCCAAGCTGTCTGATACTAAACAGGGAAAGAATTGAAATGAATGAGAGAATTCACAGACAAGCTAGTAATCATCATTATATGTAACAGATTCAATCCACGTTTGGGTCTACCATGTGTAGGTACTAGGTTATGCATTAGTAACAAGACAAAACTATTTCAGTCCAATGGAGCTGACAAACAACAGGTATAAACAGAGACAAACAAAAATTATGACACAAAGTGGTAAATTAAAGGGAAAGATGTGCACAAAGCATTAGGTGAACACCAAGGAGAGGTGCAGCTTCAAAGAGAATATGTACGTTTTTGTGAAGGAGACACCTGAGACGCTTCTTACAGGATGGCTGACACTTAGCCAGTTGAAGGAAGAAAGAATAGGGAGGCAAAAGGGGTACACGAGTAAAACATGGAAGCAAGAAATAGCAAGGTCCATTCAGGGAACTCCAAGCAGGTTGTATTGCTGATGTCTAAAGTGAGAAACAAAAAAGTGGAGATTGGGAGGAAGGCATGATAGTGGCATCTTCAACAGTTGGCAGTGCTGACCATAGTTAACAACACTGGGTTATTATACACTTGAAAGTTGCTAAGAGAGATCTTAGATAGTCTCAACACACACACAAATGGTAATTATGTGAGGTGATGGATATGTTAATTAATTTTGTTGTGGTAATTATTTCACAATATATATATGTGTGTATGAAATCATCATTTTACATACCATATACATGGTATTGTTAGTTATAACCCCATAAAGCTGGGGGAAATACCTGGCAAATGTCATATACTTACGATATGATTCCACCTACATGGTATTCTTTAAAAGGCAAAACTATAGGGATGGAGAATAGATCAATGGCTGCTGGAGGTTAGAGGTTGGAAGATATTTTAACTACATGAAGGAGCCTTTTTTGGTGATGGAATTGTTCTGTATCTTGACTATGGTGAGCACACAAATCTATACATGTTTAAAAACCCTCAGTCTATTTACAAAAAAAAAAAGTCCATTTTACATTTGTAATTTTAAAAAATTAATTATTTAGCCCTGGCCAGTGTGGCTGAGTTGTTTGAGCATTGGCCCATGCACTGAGGGTCGCCGGTTCAATTCCTGGTCAGGGCACACACCCAAGTTGTGGGTTCTATCCCTGGTCGGGACGTGAGACGGAAGCAACCAATCCATGTTTTCTCTCTTTCTCCCTCTCCCTTCTTCTGTCTCTAAAATAAATAGAAAAATTTAATTCTTTAAAGTTCTTTTTTTTTTTTAAAAGTTTGGCTTTTCCTATACATGTATAAAAAGTTTACCTTTTAGGGTCACAAACCCAAATTTGGAATCTAACCAAAACTATGAACCCACTCCTCAGAAAAAAAAATACACAAAATTTTAATTTTCTTTTTTTAATCCTCACCCGAGGATATTTTTTTGTTTATCTTCAGACAGAGTGGGAGGGAGGGAGAAAGGGAGAGAGAAACATTTATGTGAGAGATATTGATTGCTTGCCTCCCGCATGACCCGACCAGGGCCGTGAACCGAACCACAACCCAGGTACATGCCCTTGACCAGAATCGAATCCACAACTCATTGGTCCACAAGCCAATGCTCTAACTGCTCAGCCAAACCGGCCAGGGCAAAATGTGAATTTTTAATTCTAAGTAGAGGGAAAAGACAACGATGAATCCAAATTTCTGTGCTTGGCTGGATTGAGGATGGGCTTTCCAACTGATAGAGATAATGTAAAAGAAATGTTTAATACAGAATAATATGCAGAGTATAAAAAAGAAATAGCCCTGGCCTGTTTGGCTTAGTGGTTAGAGCATCGGCCTGTGGACCAAAGAGTTGCAGGTTCGATTCAAGTCAAGGGCATGTGCCTCGGTTGCAGATTTGATCCCCAGCCCTGCTCTGGTCATGTGCAGGTGGCAGCCAATCCATGTGTCTCTCTCACATCAATGTTTCTCTCTCTCCTCCTCCTCCTTCCTTCCTTCCCTTCCACTCTCTAAAAATCAATGGAGAAATTATCCTCAGGTGAGGATCAAGAAAGAAAGAAAAAAAGAAAGAAAATAATTTTATTTTATCCTTTTTTTGTGTGTGTGTGGAACAAAATGATACTAAACTTCTTCTAAAAGAAATAATGCCATGATAACATCATTTGGGAAAAGTGAATTCTGTTATGTTTTGAATTACAATTTAGCAATGTTCACATAAGCTTACCAGTTTAAAACAGGGATGGATAGTAGGGGTGTTTGCAAAATTCTATTTTTTGACCTGTGTATTGGTTACAAAGTTTTCACCATATAATTATTTATTAAGTTATATCACTATTCTATGTAATTTCTGTTTATATAGTATATTTCACAATAAAACAGCTAAAACTTATAACATCTGTGTTGAGGAATACTATGATTCTACATAATCAGTGAAAGAATCAGGTACATCTATGAGTTAATTCATAAAAAGATGTATATACATATTACTCAGATTTAGCCCTGTACTTTCATATAGCTGTAGTGCATTCATTTTCACTGCTGAATAACATTCCATTGTGTGAATATACTAAAATATATTTATGCACTGTTGTGACAATAAATAATTTGGTTGTTTCCTATTTGGGGCTATTACAAATAGTGAACTTATGAGCACTAAGAGATATTGCCATATCTCCAATTATATATATTTCCTGATGCATTTGCACACATTTTTCTTTAGAAACTAGAAAGAATTGCTGAATGGTAGAGTATGCAAATAACCAATTATACAAGATAATGTCAAATTTGTTTTCCAAAAGGATTCGCCCAGTTTAAATTTCCAGCAGCAATAAAAAAAGATCCTGATTACCCACAACGTCTCCAACACCTGCTATGGGTTGAACATCCCTTCATAACTTTACTGGGCATATGTGTTTTCTTTTCTGAGAAACTCATCTTTATAATTATTTCCCATTTTTCTATTGGGAAATAATTTGAATTATGTAAGTTCTTTATATATTCTTGATACCAATCCTTTGTGGGCTACATATATTGTAAATAACTTTCAAGATTGTAGTTAAATCTTTTCACTCATTTGACGATCATAAATTCTTAATTTTAATATAGTGAAATTAATCATTCTTTTGGTTTAAGTTTAATTCTTTTGTATGTCTGGTTTAGGAAATTCTTTCCTACCGGAACAACACAAAATTATTCAAGTACATTTTCTGACAAAAGTTTGAAAGGGTCCGGCCAGTGTGGCTCAGTGCTTGAGTGTTGACCCATGCACCAAGAGGTCGCCGGTTCGATTCCCCGTCAGGACACATGCCCAGGTTGTAGGCCCAATCCGCAATGAGGGGCATGCAGGAGGCAGCCAATCAATGTTCTCTCTCATTGATGTTTCTATCTCTCTCTCCCTCTCACTTCCTCTCTCTCTCTAAAATCAATAAAGAAAAAAAATAAAAAAATATTTGAATGGTTTTTTCCTGACATTTATGCCCTAAAACCTTCTGGAATTGATTTTTTTCTATAGCATAAAACAGGAATTCAATTATACTTTTTCAGTATGGATGCACAAGCAACTTGTTCCAAAGCAACCACCAGTAATGAATTACCTGGAAAGTAACGTCTTTGCTGTTCTCTCAGCGTTTCCGAATTCTTATGAGTGCACACACTCCTGCTGCAGGGTGTGCTGGACGACAAACTCAGCTCAAGGACCAACTCAGGAAACCTAGAAAGATCTTAGAAAACAAGAATAAAGCATTCAATATACAAAAAGGTTGACCCCCAACTTATAGCTGAGCTGTGTTGCAAAGTCTTTCACTTAGTCTTAAAATTCAAAGTCTTGTCCCACAGATATTTGATTTACATCCCAAGTCGGCTCCAAAGAGCCTACTGATGTCCTTGGGGGCGTGGAGGAGGTGGACTGGTGTGGAGCAAGTTTTTAGTTTTTAATTTATTATATTGAAACAAACTGTTTTTATATTTGTAGAATGTTTATATGGAAAAAATAGGCTTAGTGCCAACAAATTGGACAATCTAGGCTAAATGGATAAATTTCTAGAAACACACAGTCTCCCAAAACTGAACCAGGAAGAGATAGAAAACTTGAACAGACCAATAACAACTAAGGAAATGGAAGATGTAATCAAGAAACTCCCAGCAAACAAAAGCCCAAGCCTGGCCCTGGCCAGTTGGGCTCAGCGGTTAGAGTGTCAGCCCACGGTCCAGAGAGACCCTGGTTTGGTTCCCGCTAAGGGTACGTACCTCAGTTGCAGTATGTCCCCGGCCTCTGATGGAGTTGTGTGGGTGGCAACCAGTTGATGTGTCTCTCTCACATTGATGTTTCTCTCTCTCTTCCTCCCTCTTTCCCTCCTGCTCTATCTGAAGATAAATGCAAGAATGTCTTCGGGTGAGGATTTAAAAAAAAGCCCAGGCTTCACGGGGAAGTTTTACCAAACATTCAAGGAAGATCTAATACCGATTCTCCTCAAACTATTCCAAAACATCCAAGAAGATGGAAGATTTCCAAACTCATTTTATGAGGCCAACATAATTTTAATTCCAAAACCAGATAATGACACTACAAAGAAAGAAAACTACAGGCCAATATCCCTGATGAACACAGATGCCAAAATCCTTAACAAAATATTAGCAAATCAGATCCAGCAATACATCAAAAAAATTATTTATCATCCCAGGGATGCAAGGATGGTACAATATTTGCAAATCAATGAATGTGATACACCACATAAACAAAACGAAAGATAAAAACCATATGATCATATCAATAGATGCTGAAAAAGCATTAGACAAAATCCAGCACCCATTTCTGATAAAAATGCTCAGCAATGTGGAAATAGAGAGATCATATCTTGACATAATAAAGGCCATATATGAAAAACCTACAGCTAACATCATACTCAATGGGCAAAAACTACAAGCCAGGGATGCTCACTTTTTACCACTCTTATTTAACATAGTACTGGAAGTCTTAGCCACAGCAACTAGACATGAGGAAAACATAAAAGGAATCCAAATTGGAAAGGAGGAAGTGAAACTGTCATTCTTTGCAGATGACATAATACTGTACATAAAAAACTCTAAAGACTCCATCAAAAATTTACTAGATTTAATCAATGAATTTTGCAAAGTGGCAGGATACAAAATTAATGTCAAGAAATCGTCAGCATTCTTATACACTAACAATGAACTCACAGAAAGAGAAACTAAAAAAGCAATCCCATTTATCATTGCAGCAAAAAAATTAAGATACCTAGCAATAAACTTAACCAAAGAAGTAAAGGACCTATTTGCAGAAAACTACAGGTCATTTAAAAAAGAAATAGAGGAAGATATAAAAAAGTGGAAGCATATACCTTGTTCATGGATTGGAAGAATTAACATCATTAAAATGTTCATACTACCCAAAACAATCTATAGATTCAATGCAATCCCCATTAAAATACCAACGATGTATTTCACAGAACTAGAACAAATACTTCAAAAGTGTATATGGAACCAAAAAAAAGACCCTGAATAGCCACAGCAGAAGAACAAAGAAGGAGGGATCACAATACCGGATATCAGGTTATACTACAAAGCCATAGTAATCAAAACAGCCTGGTACTGGCACAAGAACAAGCATATAGATCGATGGAACAGAACGGAGAACCCAGAAATTGACCCAAGTTATTATGCTCAATCAATATTTGGCAAAGGTGGCAAGAGCATACAGTGAAGTAAAGACAGCCTCTTCAGTAAATGGTGTTGGGAAAATTGGACAGATACATGTAAAAAAAATGAAGCTAGACCACCAACTTGAAGCTAGACACCATACACAAGAATAAACTCAAAAATGATAAAAGACTTAAATGTGACTCAAGAATCGATAAAAATCCTAGAAGAAAACGCAGGCAACAACATTTCAGACATCAGCCTAATTGGTGTGGCTCAGTGGTTGAGCATCGACCCATGCACCAAGAGGTCACCAGTTCAATTCCTGGTCAGGGCACACGCCCAGGCTTGTGGGCCAAATCCCCAGTGGGGGGCATGCAGGAGGTGGCCAATCAATGTTCTCTCTCATTGATGTTTCTATCTCTTTCTCCTTCTTTCCTCTCTCTCTAAAATCAATAAAAAAAAAAAATTTCAGACATCATATGCAGCAGAATTTTCATTGATACAATTCCTAAGGGAAAAGAAACAAAGGAAAAAATGAACACATGGGACTACATCAAACTCAAAAGCTTCTGCACAGCAAAAGAAACAAGCATCAAAATGCAAAGGAAACCCACTATAAGGGAGAGCATAACTGCCAACAATACATCAGATAAGGAGCTAATTTCCAAAATATATAGAGTAGTCATACAACTCAACAAAAGGAAGACAAAGAACCCAATTAAAAAATGGGCAGAAGACCTAAATAGACACCTCTCCAAACAGGACATACAAACGGCTAAGGGACATATGAAAAAATGCTCAACATCACTAATCATCAGAGAGATGCAAATTAAAACAACAATGAGGTATCACCTCACACCTACCAGAATGGCCGCCATCAACAAATCATCAAACAACAAGTGCTGGCAAGGGTGTCGAGAAAAGGGGACTCTACTATACTGCTGGTGAGAATGCAGACTGGTGTAGCCACTATGGAAAACAATATGGTGCTACCTCAAAAAATTTAAAATGTAACTGCCATTTGATCCAGTGATCCCACTTCTAGGAATATACCCTAAGAAGCCTGAAACACCAATCAGAAAGAATATATGTACCCCTATGCTCGTAGCAGCACTATTTACAATCGCTAAGATCTGAAAACAGCCCAAGTGTCCATTAATAGATGAGTGGATAAAAAAGCAGTGGTACATATACACAATGGAATACTATGCAGCTGGAAGAAAGAAAGATCTCTTATCCTTTGAGACCACATGAGGGGACCTGGAGAGTATTATCCTAAGCAAGACAAGCCAATCAGAGAAAGACAAATATCACATGATCTCACTTATTTGTGGAATATAATGAACAAAACAAGCTGAGGAAGAAAATAGACCCATGGAAGTGGGGTGCAGACTGACAAATCTCAGAAGAGGTGGATTGGGGGGGAAGAGATAAACCACAGAACTTATATGCATGTATGCATAAACAAGGACATAGACAATAATGCTGGGAGCAGGGGAGGAGTGGGAGGAGGGAGTCAATGGGGAGAAAGGGAGAAACATCTGTAACAAAAATGAATTAATTAAAAAATAATTTTTTTATCCTTACCCAAAAATATTTTTTCCATTTATCTTTTAGACAGATTAGGAGGGAGAGAGGGAGAGAGAGAGAGAAACACAGAGAAAGAGAGAGACATCAATGTGAGAGAGACACATTGACTGGTTGCCTCCCGCACGATCCTGACCAAGACCGGGTACGAACCTCAACCAAGGTACATGCTCCTGGCTGGAATTGAACCCGGGTCTCATTGGTCCGCGTCAATTCTCTAACCGCTGAGCCAAATCGGCCAGGGCAAATAATATATTTTTTTTAATAGGCTTAGAAGATATATTTCTGAGCTGATTCTGAAATAGACTTTGTTTATCTAGACTTTTGAAGAAATTACCATTGATTTTTTTTGGTCTAATTTCTCTCCGGCTTTCCTTTTCCAAAGTGGTTGCATATCAACAACTTTGTTCTTCAGCTTATTAGTCATGGTTAATAACACATGTTGGTTCTCACAAGGAAAAGTGGGAAAGGAGAGGGACAGCCATGGTTTGGTCATCTTTTAGCTCAGAAGTGGGAGTGGGGCAATAAGAAAGAGAGACTATTTAATCCAGGGAACCATACAAAATGGGAAGGCAGTGGTTAGTGGCAGTAAGTGAACGAGGACATGTGAAAAGCAATTTCCTAAATGATTAAATGTGAGTTTATAATCAGAAAGGAAAAGAAAAGACTTGAATATGAACACAAGAAAGGAAATGAAGATAGAAATTACTAGGCCAAACAGCTCTCTGTACCACCCTCCTGTGGGTCGACTAGCCCAGGGCATCTGCTGAACACACGTTCATTCAGATGGACAGAGGGAAAGAAGAGCAATGCCCGCCAGCTGCGTCTATAATTATTAACAGATATTAATTCTCAAAGAGTACCTCTCTTTCCTAAGATTCTAAAATAATACCTCCCTTTCCTCCCTCCCAACCCCCATTACAGTTATTGTGGATTCTGCTCCCTGACCTGGGTCGGTTTCTGTCATCCAAGCTGCCCATTCATTTGTGGCCAGCTGTCTCACGCAGTTGTTTTTCACCTGCCAGGCACTAGGCTCTTTGGCAAACAGTGCACAGCAGAATTGTTCCACCTTGATTGCACAGACATATCCATAGAGGACCCCCTGCTTGTGTACTTCAAGGAGATTGATTTTATGTTTTATCTCACACCTCTGGGTGCAGAAATGATGGGCTGGTAACTTCCTAATACAGCTACTGATGAAGCCCTCCAAGGAGGTACAATCTATTTCCTCTTTTTTATATCCAATGACTTGAAGGGTCTCTTCATGCACCCCCCAAAATATGTACCCTCCTTCAGTGTTTGCAAATGCAGACACACAACTGGGGAGATGCTTGGCAAAGCATTGTAATATCTCTCCTGAGAACCTTTTGAATTCAACATGCTCGGACTTAGTGAAGTTGAGCTTTTGCAGGTACTGAAGGTGATCACTGCTATGAAATAAAGCAGCCGCTGAGACATTTATGTTCCCACCCTGAACATTCTGTGGACTTAACAAATTGGAATCATGAATATTCTGAAGAGTCTGAATCCTCCTTCTGAGGAATGCCAGTGCTTCCTGAGACGTCATGACATCAGTAGATGTTTGATGTCTGTGGTACAAATTGGAGGACAAAGTAGCAAGCCGTACACCAGAGGCCCTTGCATTCCATGACTTCACAAAAATAAAAAAGAGATCTTTGTCTTTCTGTTGCATCTCATCTAAATAGTGTTTGAAAACTGAAGGCACGTTTAATCCTACTCCGTGAGTTTCATAATTGTAGTTTTTGTTCGCAATCTCAATCTTGACCACTCCTCCGCCAGAATTCAGCAGAGCACATATTGCACGCAAGATGATTTGATTCTGTTCTTCCTGCAGGTGAGGGTCCATTTCATTCCTTTGCGTACACCCAAGGATGACTTTTCCTGCATTTAAAACACACTCAGCAAAATCTGTTTCCAAATCAATCTTGAGACTCATCTTCTCAGGACTCTTCCTATTCTTAGCTTGAAATGTTCTCCTAAAAAAACCAGGAAGATAAAACCATTAGAATAGGACAGGAATAGGGGTGGTAGGAAATCGACAGTTTGAGGCCACTCTTGTGAAATGGGTCACTTCATTTATTTCCACTGAGATTGAAGCCAGATTCATACATGAAGGGTATGCAACAGGTTGAGGAACTAAGTCTGCTGGAAGCCAACTGTCACCACAGGCCTGATCAAGAGGCTATTTTTATGCTATGTTTTTAATAACTGTTTCTGCCAAGTTCTCTAAATGACAAGGTCTTTCAAGACATCTGCAGAAAACAGGAAGCATTACAGAGATATACATGGATAGATGCAACTGAAAAGATTTCATGGTCAAAATATATCTTTGAAGTGTACTGATTTTTTAAAAACTATTTTTTCTTTATTGATTTTAGTGAGAGAGGAAGGGAGAGGGAGAGGGAGATAAAAATATCGATGAGAAAGACTATCAATTGGCCACCTCCTGCATGCCCCCCAGTGGGGATCAGGCCCACAACCTGGGCATGTGCCCTGGCCAGGAATCGAACCGGTGACTTCTTGGTGCATGGATCTACGCTCAACCACTGAGCCACACCCAGCGGGCGAAGTGTACTGATATTTATTGTTATTCCTGGTACTTTTTCTTTCTCCACTCACTGAGACCTGGGCAAGTCCTGTATTATTTTATAGTACAATTTTGTGAAGGAGCAAATCTGATTGAGTTGGTAATTTATCATTGTTGCTATGAAACAGATTCTTTACCTTCTCCTGGTCCAAGCACTTCCCATCTTGTGGGGGAAAAAAATTATATATATATTCTTTTTTTTTTTATCCTCACCCGAGGACATTTTTCCATTTTTTTTATTTAGATAGAGGGGGAGGGAGAGAGAGAGAGAAAAAAACATCGACGTGAAAGGGACACATCGAGTGGCTGCCACCCTCACGACCCAACCAGGGCTGGGGACAAACTGCAACCAAAGTACATGCCCTTAGCGGGAACCGAACCCGGGTCTCTCTGGACCACAGGTCAATGCTGTAAACGCTGAGCCAAATCGGCCAGGGCTATATATTCTTATGTATAATATATTTTATATCATAAAACATATATAATAATTACTATATACATATATATAATTTTTGCAACTAACAAACAAATTATTGACTGTTTGGAACAACCAGGATGTCAGTTTGAGGTGGGCTTTTGACATTTCCTAGACCTTGACTGACAACAAAGAGTCTCAGAAGAGGGAAAGTTGAATGAGAGCATGCAGACACATCATCTTCACAACCACAGTGCAGGACTGAAAGCAGGTGGGAGTGATATACATTCCTACAGCTGCCGATCTTTGGCCAATCTGTGGCAGTTGAGGAAGAAGAAGGAGCAATTAAACCAACTCACACATAATTACAAAACCCTCTATCAAGAAAGACTTCACTGTGAACCAAGAAGATGTCATGCTATTTGGAAAGTGTCCTGACTCAGTCTTCCCCTACACCCCCTGGCCCACATACCCAATATCTGGATGCAGGGAACAAAAGATGAAACCCAAGAGAGAAGCAAATACCATCCCCTAGATGAATGTGAAGACAGAGCCCAGAATGAAGCTGTGGGACAGGCCTAAAGGATCACCAGCCAAAACTGGAGCAAGATGGCAGCAGGTTTCATGGGTGGCACCTGACACTATAAAATTGGTAGGATTTCTTTTTTGTTGTTAATACTCACCCACTTGGGTAGGGGTGGGGGCGGGCAGGGGTTAGAGAAAGCATACACATATTTAGAAATATACAGTTAATTGCCAAAGGTAAAAGCCAAAGAGGCAAAAGCAGGAAAAGTGGGTGAGGGTATGGACCATGGGGTTTCTTATTATCTTTTACAGAACTATGACTTGAAAAAACTATGTACATGAGACTTCCACTTCCTGTCAGAGCAGAGTACCAGGGACTAGATTACTCTCCTGTCTGAAATGACTAAAACATTTTTGAAGAAATACTGGCCAGAAAATTTCCAAATTTGATGTAAACTATGTAAAATCAAGATCAAGATCCAAGATATTCAACAAGATAAGACACGTGAAGAAAACTACACCAAGTACATCACAGTTCATTTGCTCAAAACTAGTGTTAAAGATAAACTCTTAAAAGCAACTAGAGGAAAAAGGTATATCATATATAAAGGAACAAAAAAAATGACACTAGGTATTTTGGTCAGAAATAAAACAAACGAGAAGATAATGGATCAGCATCTTTAAATCACTAAAAGAAGAAAAATATTGTCAACCTAGAGTTCGAAACCTGGTGAGAATATCTTTCATAATTAGTCTAACTCAACAACAACAAAAACCAAACAATTCAATTTTAAAATGGACAGAGGACTTAAATAGACTTTTCTCCAATGAAGATATATAAATGATCAATAAGCACATAAAAAGATGCTCAACATCATTAGTCCTTAGGGACATGAAAATCAAAAGCACAATGAACCTGGCCAGTGTGGCTCAGTGGTTGAGCGTTGATCCATGCACCAAGAGGTTGCCAGTTCGAATCCCGGTCAGGACACATGCCAGGTTGTGGGCCTGATCCCTAGTGGGAGGCATGCAGTAGGCAGCCAATCAATGTTCTCTCTCATTGAGGTTTCTATCTCTCTCCCTCTCCCTCTCCCTTTCTCTAAAATCAATAAAGAAAAGAAAAAAATTTTTTTTAAAAAAAGCACAATGAGACATAATTTCACACCTACTTGGATAATGATAATAATAATAATAGTAAAAAGAAAATAACAAGTGTTAGTGAGGTTTTAGAGAAACTGGAATCCATATACATTGCTAGTAGGAATGTAAAACGTGTGGCCATTGTGGAAAATAGTTTGGACAACCATCGATTTGGAATATAAGGAAGCAAAAAAACACCCAATCAGGTCTTGGCTGGTTTGGTTCAGCGGTTAGAGTGTCAGCCCGCAGTCCAGAGAGACCCAGGTTCGGTTCCTGCTAAGGGCACATACCTCGATTGCAGTTTGTCCCCAGCCCCAGTTGGGGTTGTGCAGAAGGCATCCACTTGATGTGTCCCTTTTGAGTCAATGTTTCTCTCTCTCTCTCTCTCCCTTCCACTCTATCTGAACAAAAATGAAAAAATGTCCTCCGGTGAGAATAAAAAACAAAACAAAACACCCAATCAGAACAGTAAAAAGAAAAAAAAAATCTAAAAAAATAAAAATAGTGTAAGGAGCCTCTGTGACAACTTCAAGCATACCAACATTTGTGTCATGAGGGTGCCAGAAGGAGAAGACAGAGAGCAAGAAATTGAAAACGTTTTTGAAAAAATAATGACAGAAAATTTCTCTAAGTTGGTGAAGGAAACAGACATACTAGTCCAGGAAGCACAGAGAGTCCCAAACAAGATGAACCCAATGGTGCCCACAACAAACCACATCATAATTAAAATGCTAAGGTTAAAGACAAAGAAAGAATCTTAAAAGTAGCAAGAGAGAAGTAGTTAGTTACCTACAAGGGAGCTCCCATAAGACTGTCTACTGATGTCTCAAAAGAAACTTTGCAGGCCAGAAGGGAATGGCAAGAAATATTTAAAGTAATGAAAAGCAAGGACCTACAACCAAGATTACTCTACCCTGCAAAGCTATCATTTAGAATCAACAGACATGTAAAGAATTTCCCAGACAAGAAAAAGCTAAAGGAGTTCATCACCAACAAACCACTATTATATAAAATGTTGAAGGGTCTTCTTGAAGAAGAAGATAAAAATATGAACAATAAAATGGCAATAAATAGCCCTGGCCAGTTTGGTTCAGCGGTTAGAGCATCCACCTGTGGTCCGGAGAGACCCGGGTTCGGTTTCCGCTAAGGGCATGTACCTCGGTTGCAGTTTGTCCCCGGCCCTGGTTGGTCGTGCGGGTGGCAGCCACTCGATGTGTCCCTTCACATCGATGTTTCCCTCTCTCTCTCTTCCTCTTTCTCCCTCCCACTCTGTACAAAAAAAAAAGGCAATAAATACATATCTATCAACAACTGAATCTACAAACAAAATGAACAAGCATAGCAGAAACAGACTCATAGACACAGATAAGTTTTTGTTGGTTGCCAGATGGGAGAGGGTTGGAGGGATGAGCAAAAAAATAAAAACATTAAGCAGTACAAATTGGTTGTTAGACTGATGAACCTCAGAGGGAAGGGGGGAGGAGCAGAAAGACATAAACCAAAGAACTTAAATGGATATATGCATAACCAATGAACACAGACAGTAGTGTGGGGAAGGCAGAAAGGGGTGAGAGCAGGGATGAGGGGATCAATGGGGGGAAAACAGGGGGACATCTGTAATACTTTCAACAGTAAAGATAAATTTAAAATAAAATAAAAACCTGCCCATCTGGTGTGGCTCAGTGGTTGATCATCAACCTATGCACCAAGAAGTCGCTGGTTTGATTTCCAGTCAGGGCACATGCCTGGATTGCAGGCCTGATCCCTGGTAGGGGGCATGCAGGAGGCAGCCGATCTATGTTGATGCTTCTCTCTCTCATAGATGTTTCTATCTCTCTCCCTCTCCCTTCCTCTCTTTCTAAAAATATTAATGAAAATATTTAAAATAAAATGAAAACCTAAATATAATGGATAAAAGATTTGAATAGATGCTTCCCCAAATAAGGTATATAGATAGCAAATGAGTATGTAAAATGATGTTCAAAATCACTAGTCATTAAGGAAATGCCAACTGAAGCTACAATGAGATAATAATGCACACCTGTTAGAATGACTAAAATGATGAACAAACTAGGTGTTGGTGAGGATGTGGAGGAAAGGGAACTCCCATACACTCCTGGTAGGAACATACAGTACAATCCTTTATGGGAAAGAGTTTGGTAGTTTCATACACTTACCAGACATTCCACTTCCAAGTATTTACCCAAGAGAAATGAAAACGTATGTCCATACAAAGGTTTGTACATGAATGTTCGTAACACTTTTATTTGTAAAAGCCATAAACTGAAAACAAACTAAATGTCCATCAACAAAAACAAATTTTGATTATCCATACAATGGAATACTACTCAGCAGTAAAAAAGAAAGAACTCTCGGGACCCACAACATGAATGAATCTCAGAATAATTATTCTGAGTGAAAGAAGCCAGACAAAAAAGAGTACATACTATATGATTCCATTTGTATAAAATTTTAGAAAATGAAAATTATTCTATAGTGACTGAACACCAACCATTTGCTGTTTGGAGGTGGGGGTGGGGGTTGAGAAGTGAAAGAGAGGGATTACGAAAGGACTTTTGGGGGTGATATATATGTTCATTATCTTAATTGCCATGATGGTTTCATATGTCAAAATTGATCAAATTGTATACTTTAAATATGTGCAGTTTATTGTCTGTCAAAAATACCCAATAAAGCTTTTTGAAACCACATACATGAATGATTGCGAAAAAAACAAGTAAAAAGTATTTTACTCTAATATAATGAGTTCAATAGCCTGTTAGGACTGTAAATTTATGTGCCTGCTATTACTGAGTACTTTCCAAAGAAAGTACGTTTACAATAGGATTAGTGTTATATAGACCCATATACTCCAGATGGAGACCTTTGTGTGCATGTTCATTTGATAATAACCATCACCCCAACCTGCCCTTTTCCTTACATAGTGGAAATTTACCCTTCTTATCCCTGCCAAGTCCCCACTTGGTGGAAATCTAGTGCTTAGTGTGAAAAACAGTAGGCCATTCTAACTGCCAGTGAAAATTACATCAGCAACATAAGAAATAATGCTCTCTCTTCCTTATAGGTGCATGAAAGCAGAAAGAATTCCATTTCACATCGTTGCTTTTGTAGATTTTGTTTTTCTAGCAAAATAATCCTCCAAGACACTTGGTCTTCAGTATCTGTTGTTCTGGCCTGTGAAATATCTAATAGCCTTGACAAATACTGTAACTATGAATGGTTCTTTACATAATGTTCTGTTGCCATAACAATAAAATTGAAACTGATTTCTGTTTTCTGATGGGTATTATCAGGCCAGGAGTAGGTCATCACATTTTAGTCTTTTTCCACTTGCAAGTACTAAAAATTCTTTTCTTTTTTCCTCACCCGAGGACATTTTTCCATTTTTTGTTCAGGTAGAGTGGGAGGGAGAGAGAGGGACAGAGAGAGAGAGAAACATTGACGTGAAAGGGACACATCAAGTGGCTGCCACCCGCATGACCAACCAGGGCCTGGACAAACTGCAACTGAGGTACGTGCCCTTAGCGGGAACCGAACCCAGGTCTCTCTATACCGCAGGCCGACGCTCTAACAGCTGAACCAAACTGGCCAGGGTGAAAGTACTAAAATTTTTTATTGTTCTTTTTCTTTTCTTTTTTAAAAATTCTATTTATTGATTTGAGAGAGAGACTTTGATGTTTTTCTTTTTGTCTCATTTATTTATGTATTCATTGGTTGCTTCTTGCATGTGCCCTCACCAGTGATTATACCCACAACCGTGGCATATTGGGAAGACCCTCTAACCAACTGAGCTACCCTGCCAAGGCACTCACTTTCTTATTTGAACAAAAGAGTTGAGTTTTGTAACATTTAAATGAAGGCTTCTGACACAGGACACTGTTCTTAGCTGCTCATCTTCCCTTCTCTTCTGGCCACAGGAACTCACACACACACACACACACACACACACAGAGAGAGAGAGAGAGAGAGAGAGAGAGAGAGAGAGAGCGAGAGAATTGAGTGGAATCAGTTCCTCTTCCCCCACCAAGGCAAGCAAAGCTCTGTCACCTTCCTGGAGCAGGGCAGGGCCAGACAAACTTTAGTCACTGCACACACCCAATTCCTCCTAGAGACTCTGAGCTGAGACCATGATGGGTGTGAGTGAACCCGAAGGAGCCAAGCAAAAGTCCCACTGTCCAGCATCCCCTCCCTACCACACTAGTCCTCAAGGATTCCTTCCTGGCTCCTAGACAGTCAAATGCAAAAGTGGACAGGAGCCCTAGCTGCATAGCCCAGTTCGTTAGGTCTTCCTCATATGCCAAGGTTTCAGGTTCGATACCCCATCAGGGCGCCACATACAAGAATCAACCAAAGAATGCATAAATAAGAGGAACAACAAATCAATCACTCTCTCAAATCTTTTTTTTTTTTTTCAGATTGAAAAAAAAAAAAAAAAAGACAGGCTCAGCTGGTGTGGCTCAGTGTACTGAGATTGGTTCCATGGACTGAGAGGTCCCAGTTGGATTCCTGGTGGGGCACATGGCGGATTTGCAGCCCTGATCCCCCGTGGGGGTGTGCAGAAGGCAGCTGATCCTGTATCTCTCTATACCCATGTTTCTATCGCTCTCTCTCCCTCTCCCTCTAATAAAATAAATAAATAAAATAAAAATAAAAGAGACAAACAGGAAGTGGACTTGGCATCATAGCCCCGAAGAACAGAGCCGGGGAGCTCTAGTGGGCCACTGGAGGGGGATCCAGGGCTTCCGGGTCTATACTGGGAGCCGGCCCACCGGGTGGGAGCTATTAACTGTTTGAGGACTGACATTCCAACCCAGGGGCTTCCAGGCAATTCGAGGAACTCAGCCTCTTGTAATGAACTGGACACCGACCCTACTTGTCCACAGACCACAACCTCACTGGCTTCACCTTCAGGCGCTCCAGTACCTGATGTAGCCGTTTTTTGTTTTGTTTTTTTAAACTTCTCTGAGCTCCTGAACTGTGGGAAAATTTTACCAGGCTCGGTTTGGTAAAATGTGGGCTGTGAGGCTGCGCCTCTCTTCCCTCCCCAGCTCACCACGCGTTCCAAACCTCCCCGTTCCCCGATCCTTCGCTGCCCATCTTGGAAGTTGCTACTACTGAGCGAGAGTCCACAAACCCAGTGTCCCAAGCAGGAAGGGAGTTCCTGGGGCGCCCGCCCAGGCCCAGGGAGCTGCACTCGCCTTCACCACAGCGGGAGGGCGCAAACCGAGCTATTGGAAGACGTGGGCAAAAGGGCTCGGGGGACTCATTACCGGTCAGGAACTCTCCTCTGCAGCACGCCTCCCTCCAGAAGACAGCGACGGAGCCTCTCAATTCCAGAGCAGTGGCCTTTACCCTCCAGCGTCAGGTCGTCCTTATGTCAACTGAACTGGCATTTCGCGGGGCGGGGCACCGCGCGGGAGACAGAGGGAGACCAACAGTTTCAACAGTTTCGTTTCTGCAAACCCAGAACCCCACTCCTGCAAGGACTTGGTTACCTTTGGTAGACACGGGTGGTGTGTCTAAGGAGTGGGGGACTTTTTTGTTCTTTCTTTAGTGTTTTTGTTTTTTTTTTTAAGTATTGGCAGTACTCGCCCCCCCCCCTCCCCAGGAAGGGATTACTGGGTGCAACCTCAAGTCCTCTAGCCCTGTCCCGAGGTCCCAGCTTCCAGTGAGCACACAGGTCTCTCCCCAACCCTGGATTGCGGCTGGAATTGCGGGACCAGCCCGCCCGCATGCTCCCTCGAGAGTGAGGAGGTGGCAGCAGAGAATCAAGCCCCTACCTGCTCCTCAGAAATGGAGCAAGTTGATTCTGCCTCTCTCTCTCTTTTTTTTTAATCCTCACCCAAGGACATTTTTCAATATTTTGTTAGGATAATGTGGGAGGGAGGGAGGGAGGGAGGGAGAGAGAGAGAGAGAGAGAGAGAGAGAGAGAGAGAGAGAGAGAGAGAAACATCGACGTGAAAGGGACACTTGAGTAGTTGCCACCCGCAGACCCAACCAGGGCAGGGGTCAAACTGCAACTGAGGTACGTGCCCTTAGCGGGGACGAACCCGAGTCTCTCGAGACCGCAGGTCGACGCTCTAACCGTTGAGCCACACTGGCCAGGGTGATTCTGCCTTTCTTTTGAGGGTGCTTTGATTTGTAAAAGGCTGACTTCTGCTCCTAAAGGCTCCACCGAAACCGGCCAGGAGTGTCGCCTCTTGCTAGAACCTGGGTAGGATCAGGTGGTGGCGTTTCGGTGAAAGAAAGGGGAAAATGTCCTTTTGATTCACTTGCCTGCTACAATTTCCTCGCACCCAGGTCTTGTCCAAGACCACAGTTTTCAGCTTGTTTGTCCTAAGTTTGTTACTAAGCGTGTTCTGGGTGTTGAGAAGGATTTGTTCCGTGACAGGCTCAGGGCCGGACTCCCAGCACCTGCTGGCGCTTGTTGCGCGCTGCTACCTGGCGGTGGCGGTGCAGGGACCCCAAGAGGCAGCCGCCCAGCTGGGCGAAGGGGGCGAGGAGCAGGCTGCTAGGGGACCAATCCGAGCCCGCACCCCCAGTGGCGTTAAGTAACTTTTGGGAATCCCTGGAGCATTCTGTCCATTCCGGACTCCAACTGCTCCTCTCCTGTTTTCCTAGCTCTTTTAAAATGTTGATGAATAAGTGTTTCTCCATCTCATCACTTCCAACTCCCGCGCCCATAGCCAGGAGGCCGCTAGAGCCCTCCCAGCCAACTCTGGAGGTCTGGAAGGCCCAGGCTGGGAAAACAGGTCGCCTATGGCTCCTGGGACAGGTGGGGACTGAGCAGCTGCAATCTGGCCAGTGGGAGTTCGAGTGTCTAAGTCACTTTTCAAGGCCAGGTCAGGGATCAGGCCCTACCAGACCCTTTGGGGATGAGGAGGATCCAAAGCTTTGAACAAATGGTAAAGAGACTGAAAAAGGTCATTGTAAGACCACATGGGTCTCTGTGGTGAGTCTACCTCGTTTTCCAAGCCTATTCAAATTCCTGCCCAGAAAGGATGGGGCCACTCCCACCAGGGGACTCTGCAGAGCTGGGGAGGCCCAGGCAGACAAGGATGCTGGCCAGTTAACAGAAAAGCAAAGCCAAGGGAAATGTCTAAAAGACACTATTTGTGGTCATTTCTGGTGGCTGGGATAACTAATTTTTTAAAGTATTGTCAGATACAGGACATACGAATGGCCAAGAGACATATGAAGAAATGCTCAATGTCACTAATCATTAGAGAGATGCAAATTAAAACAATGACGAGGTATCACATCACACCTGCCAGAATGGCTGTCATCAACAAATCATTAAACAACAAGTGCTGGCAAGGGTGTGGAGAAAAGGGGACTCTAGTACACTGCTGGTGGGAATGCAGACTGGTGCAGCCACTATGGAAAACAGTATGGTGTTTCCTCAAAAAATTAAAAATTGAATTGCCATTTGACCCAGTGATCCCACTTCTAGGAATATACCCTAAGAAGCCTGAAACACCAATCTGAAAGAATATATGTACCCTTATGCTCATAACAGCACTATTTACAATCGCTAAGATCTGGAAACAGCCCAAGTGTCCATCAATAGATGAGTGGATAAAAAAGCTGTGGTACAATGAAATTGTATATATACAATAAAATACTATGAATTCATATATACAATAAAATATGCAGCTGTAGGAAAGAAAGATCTCTTATCCTTTGAGACGACATGGAGGGACCTTGAGAGTATAATGTATATAATTTATATATAATATAATCAGAGAAAGACAAATACCACATGATCTCATTTATATGTGGAATATAATGAACAAGGTGGGCTGATGAATAAAATAGACTCAGAGACATAGAAAGGACTATGGTTCAGACTCACAAACCTCAGAGTAGTGGGGTGGAGGGGATGGCTGAGATGAACCAAAGAACTTATATGCATGTGTGCATAACCAATGGACATAGACAAAAATGCTGGGGAGGTGGGAGGATGGGATGGGGAGGAGAGGGTCTGGGGGGGGGAGGAGAAACATCTATAACAAAAATAAATTAATAAAAATTGGAAAAAATAAAAAATAAGGTATTGTCAGATAGCTAAGGTGTATGGAAAGTACAAAAATAATGATAAATTGGTCAACCCTGTAGTAAATCATAAAACATAAGCAATGCTTTTGTGTACACCACACTGGTCTCAGTCCCTCAACCCATCTGTCCCCTAATCACCTGATAATCAGTACCGTATTCTGAATTTGAAGTTACTACTCCCATGCAATTCTATATGCTTTCATGAGTGTATGTCACTCATCAACATATGATATTGTTTTACATATTTAACTACATTTAAGTCATATGTACACAGCATCATATTGTAGGTGTTCTGCAAAACTTGCTCCAAGTCCTTAACATTTTGTTTTTAAAAGACCCATCCATGTACCTAGATCATTCATTTCCACTGCTGTGTGAGCTGGGTCCTTCCTGCTCACCTTTCTACCTGCCTCTTTTGGTCACCACATTATCCAGGTCCACTCAACTTTTCCTGCAAAACACTTTAGCTCCACCCTGACCAGTGTGGCTCAGGGGTTAGAGTATTGGCCTAACAGTCATTGGCCTAACATGCCAGTCAAGGGTATGTACCTGGATTGCAGGTTGGATCCCCAGGCCCTGGTCGGGGCATGTTCAGGAGGCAACCAATCAATATGTCTCTCTCACATCAATGTTTCTCTCTTTCTCTCTGTCTCTCTCTGTCTCTGTCTCTGTCTCTCTCTCTTCCCTCCCTCCCTCCCTGCTTTCCACTTTCTCTAAAAATCAATGGAAAAAATATCCTCCGATGAGGATTAAAAAAAAAAAAAAAGAGCCCTGGCTGGTTTGGCTCCGAGGTTAGAGCATTGACCTGCAGTCCAGAGAGACCCGGGTTCGGTTCCTGCTAAGGGCACGTACCTTGGTTGCAGTTTGTCCCTGGCCCTGGTTGGGTTGTGCGGGTGGCAGCCACTCAATGTGTCCCTTTTATGTTGATGTTTCTCTCTCTCCATCCCACTCTATCTGGACAAAAAATGGAAAAATGTCCTCGGGTGAGGATAAAAATGACCTCAGGCCAGCCAGTGTAGCTCAATAGTTGAACATTGGCCCATGCACAGAGGTCGCCGGTTCAGTTCCCAGTCAGGGCACACGCCCAGACTGTGGTCCAAATCCCCAGTGGGGGGCATGCAGGAGGCAGCCAATCCATGTTCTCTCTCATCAATATTTCTATCTCCTGCTCCCTTCCTTTCTCTCTCTAAAATCAATAAAGGAAAAAAAAAAAAGAAAAAAAAAAGACCTCAGCTCCCACCTTTTTTTCTTTTTTGGTTTGTTTGTTTTAGAGAGAGAGGAAGGGAGGGGGTCATAATTGCCCCCAAACTACATCTTCAGTTCTGGCCCAGCCTTACTCTGCCATGCCTTCTTCCTGGTCTCAAGCTTCTGGAGGGCCAGCAGAAAGAGGGTGCTTTGTGCTTTGGTGAAATGTAGCCTTTCTAGTTATTTGCATGTCTGTCTGTTTGTAATGGAGGCGAGTGAAGGCAGAATGTGGTTTATTTATAGTATTTACTCAAGTTTAAAAGTAAAACTTTCAGGACCTGGCTGATGTGGCTCCCTTGGTTGTCCCATGCACCAAAAGGTCACCGGTTTGATTTCCAGGTGCCCATGACCAGGTTGTGGGCTCAGTCCCCAGTGGGGGGCATGTAGGAAGGCAGCCCATCCATGTTTCTCTCTCTCTCCCTCTACCTCTCCCTTCCTCTCTCTCTAAAAAATAAATAAAAACATATTTTAAAAATAAGAAAAGGAAAACTCTCAGGTTTGGTCTGTCCTAGAGTAAGAAATGCCAAGAGCAACCTCTGGACACGTGTACATACACACACACACACACACACACACACACACTCAGTTAATGCAACTTTTAACCATTTTTCTCAACAAGCTAAGCAGAAAGCAAGCTAATGAGAAGTAAACTAGGTTAAAGAGACATATGACCTCATAAGGTTTAGGCAGTCTCATGGAGAGAGAGTCACTGTCTAGGCCAGCCTTATGTCAGTGACCTCTGCCCGCACATGAGGTTGAAGTCACAGTACAGGTGGAGGCTGCATGCTTTGGTCTATAAGTCTTGGTCCATAGAAAACCTGATCAGCCTTCTCTGTGAGAGACACAGGGAGATTGATGCTGAGGCTCCATGCTCAGTGACATTGTGGCTGGTTAGGCTTTTTTTTTTATTATTAATTAATTTATTTTCTTTATTGCTTTTATAGAGAGAGAGGAAGGGAGAGGGAGAGAGAGATAGAAACATCAATTGGCTGCCTCCTGCATGTCCCCCACTGGGGATAAGGCCCACAACCTGGGATTGTGCCCTGACTGGGAATCAAACCAGCCACCTCTTAGTGCATGGG